GAGAGAGAGAGAGAGAGAGCTGTCAGGTTCTAGGCCATTCTGATGGGTCCCACTATCTCTTCATCATTGTTCATTTCTGTTTCTTGGACAATGATGACCCCAGTCCCAAGTCGATTTGATTATGCCAACCTTTCCTCTGCAATAAACTAAAAATCATTGGATTTCACTCTTTGTTATATCTTGATTTGATTATTCTTTTTGCAGATTGAAGTAGAAAATGTTGATAGGACTGGAACCTTCTTGGGGTCGTTATGGGAGTCGCGAACCAACATGGCTGTGACTCTACTTGAAGCCGGACTAGCGAAGTTTCAAACATCTTTTGGCTCAGACAGGATACCTGATGCTCACCTTCTTGCACAGGCCGAACAAAAGGCAAAAAAGCAGCGCTTGAAGGTGAGTTGTTGATTTCCATTGAAATTGTCTCTATATAGTAGAGGGTTGGTGGAAGGGTCTGTCTTGAAAGGGCTGCCCCATCTTCTTCATTGGACTCGTTTAACATACTCTTTTAATGGCAGATTTGGGAGAATTATGTTGAAGGACAAGAACCCAATGGTAGTTCAATGCCGGAGACGAAGCAGAAGGAAGTATTAAAGGTTGTGTTTTGTTTGTCCCTTCAGTAGGGTCCAAATTAGCTAAATATGAACCCAAATATGGGTGCCTATATTTTCAATAGAAGAAAAGATCGCCATCCAACTAGTATCAGAGCATTGACCAATGGCACTGATCTTTGCTGACAGGTTGTGGTTACTGAAGTCCTAGGTGGGGGTAAATTCTACATCCAATCTGTTGCGGATCAGAAACTGGTTTCTATTCAGCAGCAGCTGGCCTCATTGAACCTTCAGGAAAAGCCTTTGATTGGTGGTTTTAACCCTAAGAAAGGAGATATCATCCTTGCACAGTTTAGTGCAGATAATTCTTGGAATAGAGCCATGGTATGATTTCTATTCTCAAGACAGCTGTTAGATGCATGCTTCTCTCTCTCTCTCTCTCTCTCTCAAAATGGCAGTTTTAAAATGATCATGACTGAGCTTCTATTTCAGATTGTAAATGCACCAAGAGGAGCTGTAGAATCAATGGATGACAAGTTTGATGTCTTTTACATCGATTATGGAAATCAAGAAACTGTTCCTTTTAGCCATTTACGACCTCTCGATCCCTCAGTCTCTTCCGTACCGGGCCTTGCTCAATTATGCAGCCTTGCTTACATCAAGGTGCCTGCCTTAGAAGAGGATTTTGGCCAAGAAGCAGCAGAGTACCTGAGTGAGTGCACTCTTAATAGCTCTAAAGAGTTTGCTGCCATGGTTGAGGAGAGAGACACATCAGGAGGAAAATCTAAAGGCCAAGGCACTGGAACCATTCTCCATGTGACACTGGTCGATGTGCAAGCCGGTTCTAGTATCAATGCTGCCATGCTTCAGGTACGCACAACTCTGCCAACTTATCAAATATGTAAATTGTGCTGATATTTCATGTTTTTTACCTTGAATACTTTTCAACGATGTAATGTGCTTAGGCTTTATTTGAACCGAGCACCCTTGCGGAATTTCATATTAAAACTAGAATGTAGAAGAATCTTTAAGGTTCACAATCCCTATAATGATTTAAAATGACTTGACCTTTATCAGGAGTCATTTTGATACTTTGTTGGTGGAGCAATAAAAATCATGCACGGAAAGGACAGCCTTTATTTGGTAATTTGTTTGAATGATGTCAGCTTGGGCACCTTGAGGGAATTTACACTGACTACTTGTTACCCAATGATCCTTATATGGCAACTTCCAAGGATGTGTATGTTGTGTAGGATTTCTTGCAAACTATCACGCACTATAGGAGGAGGACATAATAATGGACTTCTATGTACATTACACTCTCCTCATTACAATACAGTCATTACACCACTTGCTACTCTTATTTATTATACTACGCATTATACTTACAAGCATTTATATGCCACTCATTCTACACTTTTTACAACACTCATTCTCTCTATACATCTCTCGCTCTACACTCATGCCTACTCTACAGTCCATTCCTTAAACTACATGCACCTACATCCTTTCTGACTTCACATTACTTGTCACTTTCCACATGTAACATCATGTCTTCCACTTATTACACTCTAAGTATCCTCATCGCCTTGCTTGTTTTACCCAAAGCACCAATAGGTGACCTATTTATTGGCCATTTGCATTGCCCAGGTCATTTACATGTGGATAAAAATGGAATTCAGCTAGCCCTTAGTTGATGATGTTCCATGTAATAAGTGTATGTAGCTCTTGCTCAAAAGTCCACATAATCCTAGAGGAAAGATGATTGGTGATAGGACCTTCCTAGAGGGGGGGGGGGAGGGAGGGAGGTAAAGTGGAGAGATATGGAATAATGCCACGTGTTGGCTCCAATAATTCAGGATTCAGGAAGTTGACCACATAAATAACCTGTGGGTACATTTTCAAGTGAAGGGGCTTGAGGATATCAAATATTTTTTGGGATTCGAAATTGACCAAGTCCAAGAAGGCGTCTTCTTGTGTTGGTAAAACTACATCAGAGATCTCCTACAGAAGTTCTATATGGTTGGGTGTGAATGATCTCAACTCTAATGAAGACAAACGTGAGGCTAAGTGCAGATAAGGATGAGATGACATAAAAAGGATTCGGCCAGTGTTTCAAAACTCGGCAATTCCTGATTTGGATACGAAATCGGCCAGGACCGAACATGTTTGGGGATGGTATCAGTCCCGGCCCGGTGCCTCCCTAAAATCCCCCTTTCATTTTTTTTCTTTCCTTTTTCTTTTTAAGCTCGTCTAATTTTAATTTTTTATTATTTTATGGATCACAAATTCGGATGATCTCGATCGTTGATCCAACAATCCGACAAGGATTTGTGCGGTGAGTGATCCGCCCCACCGATGTGTGTTTTGAAACATTGGAATTAGCCATGTAGAAGCAGATTGTCGAGAACGTCATCAACCTAACATAGGCTCGGCTTGAAATCTCACTGGCATTTGGAGTAGTAAGTTGATTTGTGTAAAATCCAAGGAAACCCTACATCTACAGGTTGTTCACAGGTTCCGTGGTACATCAAAGGTACTGCCGATTATGGTTCTTCTGTATAAGATGGGTTGATGTGAGTTAATAGGCTATTGGGATGCCAAATTGTTTTGGTGCTCAAAGCCTCAAACTACTCTTTGCTACCACCAGATATTCTTTTAGCCTCAGTCAACATTAGTCTCTTGGTGTAGCATGAAAATCAAATGTATCCTTATTGACCACTGAAGTAGAATGCAGATCTGTGATGCTCAGGAATTCACTTGGCGAACACCTTTGTTGAATAACCTACATCATTCACAAGCGAAGCCAATAGCACTATTTTGTGATGACCTGTCAGCTGTCAATTGGCTGAGAATCTTGTCTTCGATGTAGGGATCAAGCATAGTGAAATAGATCGTGATTACATTGAAGAAAAGGTCCTACAGGTACACTGGTACCAATCAGGACTGAAGAACAACTTGCAAATAGATTTACAGAAGGGTTTAGCCTCTTAAAATTTGTGAGACAGACAGACTTGGCATGATAAGAAGGTTGGCAGTTACATCCAGGGTCGAGGGGGAGAATGATTGGATCCAACATGTGATTCTCTTCCATCTCTCTCTATTTTCACCTCCCTTCCCCCCTCTTTTCTCTCACTCTCTCTCTTTAAGAAGGTTCTACCACTGAGCATATGTTCTACTTGGACTTTTGAAGAACCACATACAATCATTAAGTGGAACCTCATGAGAAAGTCATGTTTACCAAGGGCAAATTGCACATTATTGTCTACACATGTAGATGATTAAGGCCGTGCAAATGGCCTATAAATACGGTAGAGCTTGTTGGGCTTTGGCTAGCAAGCAAGGTAAAGTGGGGGAGCAGTTTAGAGATGTGAGGTGCGTATTGAGACAAAAAAAAGTCCGAAGTGAGAAATGGTGCAGTTAAGTATGGTGTAATGGACTGTAGAGTGAGCAAATGGTGTAGAGACTAGAGAGTGGTATATAGAGGGAACGTGTGTTATAAGTGTAGTGTAATGAGTAGTATATAAATGCTTGTTAGTGTAATAAATAAGATTAATGATTGATTTAATGATTGTAACAAGGAAAGTCTAATGTTCATAGAAGGGCAATATTATGTGTTCTCTCTGTGTCTCCTATATGGTGTGATTGTTCACGCTTTGCAGGAAATCTTACATGTCATTTTAAACAGAACTCGTCTTTTGTGGTTAGTGACCAAAATTTTCGTGCTGGGGAGAAGTCCACTAAAAGGTCGGGGTGTTGATGTTTGTTTTAGGGGTGGTTGGATAATACAATGCTCGCTTTATGAGCTCAGAAAATTCTAAGGTCTCATTCTCTTCATTTTTATGGCGTGCAGTTTTAAGATGCTCAACCCATAATTTTTTCCTTTTCTTTTTGAGGGAATATTTGACTATTTTTCTCTTATTTTTGTTTCCATAATTAGATAATGTATACTAGAATTCTTATGATAATGCACTGGAAGATAACTTACAAACTCGTTTATTTTCCTTTTTCAGATTCCTTAGATAGTTCTGTTTTAAAAATGTAATCAGAATCAATTTATGAAATTAAGTGTACATTAGTGGTGCATTCCATGCTCAACAATCATATGGGTCTTTCAGAAAGCTAAGAAACACAGATTTCATCTTTGTCGATCCTTTTATATGACTCCACCTCTTCGATTTTAACTTGCAGGAAGGGTTTGCCAGGCTAGAGAGAAAGAAGAGATGGGACACAAGGGAGAGGCAATCTGCTCTTGACAATCTTGAAGAGCACCAAGCAAAGGCAAAGAGGGAGAGGCTTAACATATGGCAGTATGGAGATGTTCAGTCCGATGAAGAGGACAACGCTCCCCCTTCGAGGAAAGGTGCCGGTCGCCGATAAATCATAGATTTAGGCACCTACCACAAAAAAAAGCAACAGGAAAGATATTATCCAGTGGTGATCAGAGGTGAGTCAAATTCAAGCCCACAGTTCAGGGAATAGTTTAAGCTAAATAATAGAGAACAGAGGAATTTTTATGACTTAAAAACCATAGAGGAGAGCTACTTTGATTTTTGTTTGTTTTTTTTTTTTCTCTTCCATTTTTGCCTTGTTTTTCTCTTTTATTTTTTTTTATTTTCCTGCGGAACATTGTTTTTACAGGTATGAATAAGATAAATTCCATGTTTTTGGCGTTATCATTAATTTATTTTTCCTTTGGGGTGTCAAGTACATCTCTCCAGTTATTTGTGATTGGATCTTTTTAGCTTAGTCAAGATCTAGTTTTTTTCCTTTTGTTTTTTTTCTTCTTGGGTCCAAAAGGAGAATAAGATTGAGAAAAGATGGCATGGACCTATGGCTAGTAGGCAGGATAGTAGATTCTTGCTTAGTTATGTGCTGTTCAAATTTCTTAGATTTAGAACTAAATAACTTCATTTTTTTAATTAAAAAATGATGCCTAACGTAATTTTAGAATCTCACTTTCTCAATTTGCAAATAATATCTATTTGCTTGGCATGACTGAAATTTTGGGGTCATCTTCATTGCTTTGAGGCTTGAGGCTGAGGTTTCAAAAATGGGTTTAACCTGCTTAGCCACATTCTCTCCCTTCAGCTTCTGTGCCGCATCTCTTTCTCTCTCTCTCTCT